GACTTTCTTCAACATACATTTCAATTTCTTCATCGTACTAGCTGTCGGGTTTCTTAAATCGACTCTGGTTGCAATTGCATTCCGATTGCGAATACCATTTTTTTCAGCCGAATTAAGTTCAAATCATTGGAATTAACTAAATTAATTATATCAACAATTATTTACTTCCTTTTTTCATAAAAAAATCGCTCGTGTTTATAAATTTTTAAATTTAACGAACTAATTTATTCAAATTATTGTAGACAAAAATGCAACCATGCGCCGCAACTTCTCTCCAAGAGAACTGTCACTTTGCTCTCACAATTTTTGAGTGTTGGATAATTTTTTGGTCTGCACGAACGCGATTTGGGCAAAAATCGTGATAATTCGTACAAATTCGTACAAATTTTTTGCTCGACGAACAAACCTATTTTTCGTACCAAAACTTTAATATATAAATGGGATGCAGTCATTTCCGAGTCGCAAATCATGATATGTTTTACATGTTCTCTTATGGCATGTTCACACAAGTTACAAGTGATTTTATGAGCAATATCTGAATTCCTCGTTCATAGATTTTTTCTGAAATCCGTGGAAATGCTATTACTGAATTCGCAAAGCTAAAAATGCAGCATTATTCATAAATACAGCCCAATGTAGCAAATCGCACTTGCGAGAATAGGGCGTAGTGTGTTGTTATTGTTGTTGTGGCAGCAGTACTCAAGAAGGGACAAAGGCATTAGGGTTGTCAGGTTTTCCGGGCACACGAAGAGATTTTTCGAGTCATGAGGTTTCTCTCCGCATGCCGGACACTCATTTGGCACATCTGCGTTTAGTCTGCTTAGGTATGAGTTTAACCTGCTGCAGTAGCCAGAGCGAAGTTGGGCTATTGTGGTTCTTGTCTCCTAGAACGGCATTCACAGGTCTGGAGTCTACATAACTCGAGACTGACTCCCTGTGAATGCCGCTCGAGGCCTAACGATAAGCTGATGGGTCCAGAGGTTGTTTGATGAACCTCTGGACTTCGTCCGTCAGTTCGTAGAAATGCCTCCTGACGTGCTTGGGCGAGGGCTGTTCTCCAAGCAGTTGTCCCCTTGGGTGTCCACGGCTGTCGCTCCCAACAAGAAACTGCTTCCCATGGGTCGTCTTCATCCCCTGACTCTACAAACTTGAGGCCAAGAAAGCAGGCAGCGTCGATAGACGTCGTCCATAGGGCTTCTGGTGTCACGGTCGTCGGGTTCCCGCAGTGTGGGCAGGTTTCTGCCACTTCTGGGTTCAGCCGAGAGAGATAGCCATTTAGTCTGTGATACCACCCATAACGGAGTTGAGCTAGAATGAACCTGATCTCTCTCGACAGTTCCGCTTCGTCGATATTAATGGGCGGTTGGGGACCGCCTGGGACGATATTGTCGTTTCGGATCGTTTGGAAGCAGGTCGTTGTTGGGGTTATTTCCACGATGGCACGAAGAGGTGTTATGCTCTGTCACATTCAGCATCTGGCTTTCTTGGTGGAGGTGATACTCGGATGACATGAAATGGCAACCTGTAACCGTGCGTAGAGCTGCATTCTGGCAGGTTTGTAAATTTCTCCACTGTGTATCGCTGATGATTGCCGTAGTTTGCCAACGACCGGCCGATTGGTTTGTACGTGGTGACCAGGGTTTTTTTTGTAGGTTCCCCAAGTGCTGCCGGCTAGTGACTTGAGGACTTTGTTCCTAGCTCGCATTTTTTTCGCAGGTGGCAGCGTCGTGCGCCGAAGAGGAGAAAAGGGTATTGCCATCGACGCGGACGTCCAGTTCCAGGCTGAACTCCTTAATCCAGGAGATGAACCGTGCGGCGCTGGATTTCGCGGCGGAGATGGTGAAGCTCAAGGCAGTGAAGAAATTTGCAAGATCGGTGAGATAGTCGGTGAGGTTCCCACAAAGGCTGTCGATGGTAGGGCCAGTTGCCATCGGCAAGTCACCTCCAACTGTCGGCGGAGGGAGTTTTTTACATGTGGCTTAGACTTGGCGTTTCGAAATTCGACCCATGATTGGCATCCATACAAACAGATCCGGAACTCTCGAGTCCAGCACGTCTTGGCAAAAGGTCGCTTGGTTTATCGTGTCGAGGGCCTTCGACAGGTCAGTCGCGATTAAGACCGACCTATCACAGGGTCGACGTTGGTCCCGACCCTCGCTTATCTTGTGTGTTGTGGTGAGTCATTTGTAATGCTCGTCCCAGTACGACCATATAGTAGACCATTACGAGGATTAAATTATAACAATCACCAGCGAAGTTAGCGGGAAATGAACGAGGTATTCAGCGACCTCAAAAACACCCAAACACTAAGTTGCAAATCAATTTGGTTACCTCTCGACTTTTGGCCAGCAAATAGTAGTCGTAGGAACTGCAAAGAGTGCATGCCTATAAATGTCAAACGACTGTTAATATTGAGGTGCATTTTGATTTTATTATTTGATCTTTTGTCGTCGTATATAATTGAAAATAAAACCGGTTTTTTCCTGTTTGTTCAATGAAAAAAAATTTTTGTGAAAACAACACAAAAAATAAAAATTAACTCCAGAGATATCGGCTTTCAAAGTTGATGGTCGAAAAATCGACCGGCGGCCGAATATGGATTGGATAAATTAAAATCTGCATTGAATATATTTTTTTTATATGACAAACCTCGATATAAAATTACATATAAAAGAATCATAAATTTTATATTCCGAAAAAATGTTCTTTTTATTTTTAAAATTGACAGCTATGGGATTTAAAACATTAACATTATCAAATACCAAGCTTTGCCGGTTTTTCTCGCCTAAAGTTTTTTCTGCTTGATTTTTCCTGTGTTACATTCAATTCATACACTGGGTGGTAATGTAAGTATTTTTCTTGATTTTAAGATTAAAAAATTATTAGCGCACGCAGGCATCATTTACATTTTAATGCCATTTGAAAGCCATATTTTTTTTTTATTCAATCAATTGCTGTATGCAAATTCTTAGTAAACTCGCACCAAATGCATGAATACCAATCCTCACATTAGGGGTATTCTCTGAGCCTTGCAAAGCCCTTGCAAGGTGCACNATACGAAAACCGGTTTTAACCGTGCAATCCGTGCAATCTGTGCACCATGCAAGGGCTTTGCAAGACTCAGAGAATACCCCTATTGATATACATATGTATGTATGTACGTACATATATTAGTAATAAATATGCATGTAGTATATACATATATGTAATACTCCTATATTGGCAGTAAGAGCTAGTACCGTCCGAAAACACTACAGTACAGATATATCAATAAACACGTACGAAAGAAAAGGAACACATACGCCCTGTGGGGAAAATCTCTAGTTCTGAACTGGGGCGCTTCTAGTACATTTAGACCCAGTACTGGTTCGCGATAAATCTCTTTTGCATGCAAGCAACTGGCGAATTTAACATGGCGATGTCCTGGAAGTGTCAATCTGCCCCCCGCTGCATCCCTTTTTCGATAGTTCCGAACTAGTCCTAAATTCTATAGTTCCTAACCAGTTCTAAAATCGACAAACGAAAGAAAAAAGTATCATGATTTTTCAATCTTTTCGGTTCTTCCGTGTGCGATTTTACATTATTTTCAAAGAAACGTTTTTTTCAATTTGAAATTAAATTTGTTTGAATGATTGTAAGAAATGTACGTTTACATACCTTGCTGTAGCTGACTTTGCAGAGGTGCTCGCTGTTATTGGTTAGATTCCAGATGGCCCCAAGATGTTAATATGTTAACACAAAGCTTTGTTTTGTATTACCAAACTATGAAATAGCATCTGCGAAGCACAGAATAGAAGCGTATTTGAACGAAAAAGCCGCCGAACACATATCTATGTAAAGTAAACAAGCCCCCCGCTGCATCCCTTATTCGATAGTTCCGAAATAGTTCTAAATTCGACAAATAGGATCTAGTGCGTTCTGCATCCCTTTTTCTATAGTTCCGAAACATTTCTAAATTCGTCACTTTGGATATAGATTTGTAGTAAAAAACTTAAAAAATTAGTTTCTTAAAAGTACCACTTTTCGCCGATTTTGGACTGGTGGGGATCTAGTTCCTTTTTGGGGATAATGACCTAGTACGGAACTAGAAATTTGATTCACTAGTCCGCGGTTTCCCTGCAAGGCGTTTATAAATAAACATGTACACAACACATACACAAAAACAGCTCTCAAGTACACAATACATTGACAAAAACGGTTCTAGACTGCCTCGCTTTGATTTCGGAATGCTAACACATTGAGAAGTTAGCTTACTGCCAATATAGAAGTATTACATATATGAGTATAAATGTATGCACACACACACACACATGAAGGTAAATAATTAAAAACTACATTAACTACATACCAGTACACTTAGAATGAGTATTCGTTTACAACTATAAAATAACAGTAAAACTAAACGTACAAACATATGTGCGTTTGAACGTACACTCTTACGGCATGTATTCATCTAATAGTTATTTATGTATATAGTAATTTAAATTAATAATCCCTTATCGATAAAATCGTATAACTAAATTAGAAAAAAATTTGGAAACAAATGCCTGTCAGTACCTACATTCAGTCCTCCTCCTCTCAGCGCTTA